TATTTTTCAAGTGTTTATTTTGTTGAAGTGTTTTGTTGAAATACGTTGAAGGTTGTTGCGGTTGCGGTTGCGGTTGCAGCTGTAGATGTTGCTGCTGCTGCCGTTGCAGTTGTTGTTGTTGTTGTTGCAGTTGTTGTTGACGCTGTTGCTGTTGCTTTTTGACGTTGTTCTTGGTTACGCTGGTAGTCATGTTGGCGTCTGCCACGTATAAGCTTATGTCGTCGTCTTTGTTTAAATTGTTGTCGCTGCTGTAGTTGCTGCTGTAGTTGTTGTGGCTGTTGTTGGTAGTGTGGTTATTGTTGGTGTGGTGGTTGTTGAATTTATTCATTCGGTACGACTTGTCTTTTCGGTATGTTGAGATCGATGTCATGTCGTCATCTATGATTCTGTTGATGTTGTTGTAACTGTTGTAGTTGTTAGTGTTGTTGTTGTTGATGATGTTGTTATTGATGTGATTGTTGTAGTTAATGTTATTGTTGTTGTTGTAGTTGTCGGCTGTTGATGGGGTGGACGAGGAATAAATGTCATCAAGCGATCTAGGCGACACGGATATGATGCGCTTGTTGCTGTTGTTGGCGTGGCCGTTGGTGACGTTGTTGTTGTTGTTGTTGTGGTTGTTCAAAATGTTGTTGTGGTTGTTGTGGCCGTTGTGGTTGTTGTAGTAGTTGATGGTGACAAGTTCTGGAAGGAGGTTTGAGTTTTGTTGTTGGTACTTCAAATCCTCTAGTTCCTGCCTGAGTGCGGGGGTGCCAGCAGTAAAATAATCAATCAACTAGCCAACCAATCAACTAATCAGCCAACGAACAAACTAACTAACCAAAACCATCCAACAAGTCAATCAGTAAACAAAAACCAACCAACCAAAACCAACAAGTCAATCAGCCAACAAAACAGCCAGCCAACCAAAACCAAACGAAACCAACCAACCAACCAGCTAACCAAAACCATCCAGCCAGTAAATTAGTCAGCCAGCCAGCCAGTCAATCAGCCAGCCAAGCAAACAGCCAACCAACCTATAAAACGTATGAAGTTTTTGAAGTTCAAGTGGATAGTGTACGTTCTTCGATACGATGATTTGTTTCTGCCTCCTAATTATCTCGTCTGCTAGACCAAAGTGCCGTACGTGTGTTTCAATCACGAGGTTCCTCTTGCGCGAGTCATCCAGTCTGCGCGCGATTGATTGGTTTGTTGATTTTTTTTGATTGATTGATTGATAATTTTAATTAAAATCACCATCTTCATCACAATCATCATTATCACACTCACAACATCATCATCCTCACCATCACCATAATCAGCAGCACCTCTTAGTAAGTTCCTCGTAGAGTCTGAGGTTGTCCAACTCCAGCCGATGGACCTTCGTCAGCAGGTTGATCGCCTCCCTCTGGGATGCGTTGTTTGGGATTTGGAAAAGCTCCTGGTAATGATGATTATGACGATGCTGATGATGATAATGATGATGATGTTGACGATGATGATGATTATTACGATGTTGCTGTTGTCGATGATGATGATGATGTGGTTGATGGTGATGACGAAGATGATGGTGATGACAATAACAACATAATAATGGGTTGATTGAGTGGTGTGTTGATACGTTGAATAATTGATTGATTGATTGATGATTGATTGATTAAATTGATTGATTAGTTAAATAATAATAACAATAAACACCATTATCATAACCATCACCATCATTATAATCATCATTATCAGCACCAACCTCTTCAATCCTTGCACTCTTTTTGATGGCGAGTTGCAATTGTTGCTCCATTGTTTGTCTCTGCTGGTCAACCTTGCCTCGTTCCGACTCCAAAACTTTCAGTTCCTGGGTCACCTTGTCTATTCTATCACCCGTTAAATCTGTGGCAATCACGTGGTTGATTGGTCAGTTGGTTGGTTGATTGATTGGTGGGTTGGTTGGTTGACTGGTTGGTTGGTTGATTGATTGGTTGGTTGGTTGATTGGTTAGTTGGTTGATTGGTTGGTTGGTTGATTGGTGGGTTGGTTGATTGGTTTGGCTGGTTGGTGGGTAGAATAGAGTATAGCGATGCGTTGGCTGAATGGTGGGTTGATACGTTGAATGACTGATGAATAGAATGATGGATGGAATTGCAACTTCCATGTTATTGTGTCACTCTTGTCATCTGCTGTTTGGTTGGATGGCAAAGTGTGCTGATCGATTGATATGTAAGTTGGTTCATGAATGTATGAATGAATGATTGATTGATAGTCAGGTTGAAAATATGATCGGTTGTCTGGTCGTTCGGTTGAAATACAGATAGAAAATTAACTTGACAAACGGGTTAATTGCCAAAATATAAAAAAAAACTAAGAAAAAAACAAAAAACCGAATTAATGAGCAGCTAGCTATAGAGAAGAAAGTAAAAACCTTTCAACGCGATTGTTGTACATCTACCACTACAGTCGCCTCTGTTTTTAATAATAATAAAATAATAATTATAATTATCATAATAACTATATTTATAATTATAATAACAATAATAATAATAATTATATTTATAATTATCTTACTCGTCATTTTCGTCCTCTTCTTCATCGCCCTCCTGAATGCCCCGCTTCTTCTTACTGGTCTTCAATTCGAGACTTTTCAAACGCTTGCAACTGATGCAAGATGCAGAAAAGTGATCATGATGATGATGGAATGAATGAATGAATGAGTAAGTGAATGAATGAATGAATGAATGAATGAATGAATGAATGAATGAATGAATGAATGAATGAATGAATGAATGAATGAATGAATGAATGAATGAATGAATGAATGAATGAATGAATGAATGAATGAATGAATGAATGAATGAATGAATGAATGAATGAATGAATGAATGAATGAATGAAGGAATGAATGAAGGAATGAATAAATGAACAAACGAACAATTAAACGAATGAATAAATGGGTGAATGAATAATTAAAAAAACGAATCAACCAAGAGCCAATCGCAGTTCGTCAAACAAATTCACAACTAAGCAATTATTTTTAGACAACCAATCTCTAAGCTACATAATAATTAGATCATTTCAAATGTTCAGTCATTCAACCTGACAGCCAATCACATTTCAGCTACCATCTAGAAAACTTCTCAGCTAACAAACAACAACATTTCAACCAGTCAATTAACTAAACAATCAATCAAACCGACCGACCAACCGACCGACCAATCAACCAATCAACCAACCAATCAACCAACCAATCAACAAACCAACCAAACAACCGACCGACTAACTATCCAACCGACCAACCAACCAACTAGTCGACCAACCAATCAACCAACCGATCAACCCATCAACCGACTAAACAACCAACCAACCAACCAACCTATTAAGAAGCATCTGCTGCCTCGTTATTTCAACATTTATCTCGGATTGCGTGTTGTTCAATTCTAACAAATTCTGCCTATTTAAAGCATGAATAACAATAAAAATGATAAATAATAATATAAAAACAAACCATAATAACAACAATAATTCTTCTATTATATTTGTCAAACGAATTTTGATTGGCTGACGAGTAAAACCAAATATGCAACCTGAAATCTAATTGGTTCTTGAAAGCTTCGTGCAGCTCCTTTTTAAGTCTCTGCAGCTCTTGATCATCTTTCGGGTTCAGGACTTCCGCTAGAGGAATGGATGAATGAATGAATGAATGAACGAATGAATGAATGAATGAATGAATGAATGAATGAATGAATGAATGAATGAATGAATGAATGAATGAATGAATGAATGAGTGAATGAATGAATGAATGAATGAACAAACGAACGAACGAACAAATGAATGGAAAAATAAAAAAATGAGTAAAACAAATGAAAAAGTCTAAAAATCAAAAAATGGAAAGAGAAACAAAATAATGGAAGTTAATTAACATTGGATGGCTTGCATGGTGAGTGCATTCTTGTTGCTGTTGTTGTTGTTGCTTCTGTCTTCTAGCTTTTGTTTCAACCTGATGATGATGATAACGAGGATGATGATGATGTGATGAGGATGATAGTGTGAAGAAGATGACGACGACGACGATAATAGTGGTGTTGATAGCGAAAATGATAACGATGAAGATGATGATAATGATGGTTTTTATTTTTTGAAAAAAAAAACGATAACACGATGATAATGATGTGGCGATGATGATGGTGATGGTCATTTTTTTAAAGTCCGAGATTTTTCCCTCCTAGAGCAATAATTGTTGATTGATATTGCTGGCGAAAAATTTATTTGACCATTATAACTTGCATCTGAAATTGCACAAGAGATTGAATGTTATCTCGATGGAGAATTGTTGGCTAGGTACAAATTGTTTGTCATCTTCTCAATAACTGAAAAAATATTTGTTTCATATTTGGGTTTTTTGGTAATCCACTAATCGGAAGTTTGGCAACTGGAGAAACTTCCTGTTCGATACATCCCTAATCATAATTCAAATCCTAATTATCATCCTCATCATCACAATCACATCTTCATCATCATCATCATCACAATCACCACCTTCTTCATCATCATCATCATCATCACAATCACACCTTCATCATCATCACAATCACCATCTTCATCATCATCATCATTATGACCTTTTAATTTCTTCTTTCAAGTCAGTGATGACGTTGGAGTACTGAGATATGTGGAGGGTCATGTCTAGGACGTTCTGTCTGACCTTCATTGGAAATGGTAATGACAATGGACAAATGAGTGAAAGACATAAAAAATGTGATGAGGACAATAGTGAAGATGCACGTGATAATGCGTATGATCGCCTGTACATACAACTGTATACATACGTACATATTTTCTGCTGCTTTTGAGAACTTTTTTTAAAAAAGCGCTGTATAAATTTTCGTATAATATTAATAATGTTCGTTATAGTTTAAAAAACAATTCATCCATTCATTCATATGTATACCTACTTATACATTTCCACATCGCATGTGCGTGTGGCGTACAAATGTATTTCGTTTTGAGATTGTTTGAACAAATCTCTTGAAATTCAAACAAATACAGAAACACAACCCAAAACACAAAATATACAAAACATACAAAAAACGAACAAAAACAAACAAGCACAAAACAAACGAACTTTTGTTTTCAGATTTTTAGCCCTATCGGCATAGGTCAGCGTGTTCCTGGTTTCCTCAAAGTGGAAACTTGCAGGAGAGATATGAGCCACCATGACCGTCTTGCAGTTGCCGCCGAGCGCGTCCTTCAGCAGACGCGTCAGTTTGCTGTCCCTGTAGTTCACGTACTTCGATCCTGTCTTGTCGCCTGGTGTGGTGGAGGCAGTTGTGATAAGATTGAAATGATGTGATTATCGGCATCTCGTTTTTGTTTGGTAACGATACGATACCACGTTGGAATTTCGCTCTCAATGAAACGAGGCGGTACGAATATCATAACGAGATAAAGCGATACGAAACGCAGAAGATTATTATGAAAATGATTTAAAATACGTGAAAGAATAATTTTTATAACTGCAAATTTCAACAGCTTTTTAGCAATAAGCAATCAAACCAGCATTACAGTATCAATTAATGATATCAACGTTATCATATTACAATCCACGCACACACATACACACACACACATACATTCACAACACACACACAACCCACTTAGCGCATTGATGCAGTTTCCTAGGGCCAACAGACTCCTGTTAATATGCGCCCCCTCGACCATTCGCTTGCCTCTGTTCTGGGTGTTTGCCGCCCTTTCCGAGCCAGCCAGGTCGATGAGGATCAGCTTGCCCATGCGGTACTGCTGCTGCATGCCTGCCGCTAACCTGGCGTGAGTGGGGTGGGTGGGTGGTTAGGGGCTTTGATAACCGGTGGCGATAGTGATGATATTTGGGTTAGATGTATATTGATACATATAATAATTTCATAATATTATAACCATAATGTATTATAACTGGTGATAATGATGATGATGGAAAAAAGTGATGATGATGATGATGATGATGATTATTACAACATGGTAAGAAAAAATGATAATGATATTGATGGCTCAAAGCGGAAAAAGTTAAAAAACAAAGATAATAAAGCCAAGAACATTTATGTCAAAACGCATCAATAATGACGTCATGTTAAACACAGACCTGTTTCTCTGCCTGACAGATATAATTAAAACAGCGTGCGACCTTGAACTTGTCTTGTTGGCGGCCGTCGGCTCCTGAGTCCGTTGTTTGTTGCCCTCTTTTAATATATGCATCACCTTATTGAATATTAATTAGTTTTAAAAAGTACTACTGCAACTGCTTCTTGCCACGACTGTTACTGCTACTAATACAACTGCTGCTGCTATTGCGACTACTACTACTACTACCACTACTACTACTACCACTACCACTACTACCACTACTACTTTTTACTCCGCCTGTTACTGCTACTAATACTGCTGCTGCAGTTGCTATTGCTACTACTACTAATAGTAATAAAAAAAGAATAATAATAATATTAATGATAATAAAATATTTTTAAAAAGTATATACAAATTAAGTTAAATACCATGGAGGTTATCAGACAAAATTATTATCAGATAAGTTTTTCATCATCGTCATCGTTATTATCAATCATGATAAATATATTATTATTATCACTATTATCATCTCAATTATGATATCTATCATTGCCATCACCATCATCATCACCACCACCACCACTACCATCATCATCATCACCACCATCATCATCACCACCACCATCATCATCATCATCACCATCATCATCATCATCACCACCATCATCATCATCATCACCACCATCATCATCATCACCTCGCTGGTATTTGTGACGTCATGATTGGATAGGCCAGCGACGTGTAAGCCAGTTTGATCTTCCCTCAAGTCCAAGTAACCACTGTTTGGGTTGAGGAGATCTCGGATCATTTCGTTGTATATCTGGGTTGAGATTGTTGATGTTGATGTTGGTGTTGTCGTTGTTGTTGCTGATGTTGTTGCTGTTGTTGTTGATGTTGTTGTTGTTGTTGCTGATGAGATTATTGTTGTTTCTGTTTCTGTTGTTGTTGCTGTTGTTTCTGTTATTGTTGTTGTTGATGTTGTTTTTGTTGCTGCTGTTTTTGTTGTTGTTATTATTGTTGAAATTTTAACTATAAAGTGTCGGAGTTTGGTATTTTGTTTTTTGGGTATCGCTTCAATTAAAACACATGCAAATACACACACATATACACACCCAAACAAACAAACATACAACATACAAACAATACACACACATACACGCATACAGACGTAGAGACAAATGCATACAAACAAACATACAAACCTCCAGATAGGACATAGTAACTTTGTATATCAGCCTCTCCTGAGATTCGTTCATCTTATCAAACAGATCAGTCAGGGCTTGTGCCATGATCCCCGGATTTTCATCCCTCCCCAACATCGTGTGGGTTTTTCCGGCACCTAACAAATTAGGGAAAGAATAAAAAAAAGTTAATAAATGATGGTTCTCTTTAGCACCTTAAAAATTAGGTGAAAAATATCAGGAACCTAATTAAAATCTTCTGAAGGATATTGTCTTGTGTGGATAAAACAATAATTAGTAGGTTAGAAAGAAAATATCAATAAAAAGCTTCACAGCATTTGGCAAGCTAGCAGAAGCATTAGGAGGAAACTAATAAGGAATAGGTGTGTGTGTGTGCGTGTGTGTGTGTGTGGTTTTGCATATGTGGTGTATGTGTATGTGTGTGTGAATGAGTTAGCAGCAAGCAGCACAAAAAGGTTAGATATCCCGACAAATCGACAAAAAACTCGAATGCATTGATTCGATCGTATTGATTGATGCCGGTTAGTGTCAATAAAGCGCTTTACTTCGGCTGTTTATTTTATTTACTTTTATTTATTACTATTTTATTTTATTTATTTTATAGTTTTGTAGCGAGTTGTGTGTTATCTTGATTCCTATAATTGATCTGTCGGTATGATAGAGCTGGCGCAAGATCAGATATCTAAATATACTTCTGATACAACGTACTCACGCACAACGTACACTTGGTCCAAAAAATGTTTCAAATCTAACTGAAAATTCATTGAATTTGCTAAGGATATCAGGAAACTTTTTAAAAACCAAAAACGACTACATGCGAAATTACTGCATCATACCATTACATTTCACCGCAACTGTAACTCTAATACAAATTATAAAAATTTTTTTGTTACCAGTTTTCGTACCAGGAAAATAAAATTTTCCAGAGGCACGCGATACCGAAACAGGCACTCCCCGAGATGATTGCAATGAGTGCAGATATAAAAAGTGCACCAGCATTCACTTGCTAATGTATCTCATCGCGTGAGATACCTGCTAATATTTATGATCTGTCTTGGAAATTGATGATATGTCGTGAATAAAAACAACATCATTAATTCATTATTCATGCGGCCATTGCGGCTAATATTAATTATACTGATGAGCATTCATGAGCAATAACGAGCCTTCATTTATATTAATTAGTTCTCATGAATAATTAAGGATTTCTCATGAATAAATAATTAGTTCTCGCAAACATTTAATGAGATCTCTTGAATGATTAATGAACCTGTGGCTCCGTAGGCGAAGACGGTAGCGTTGTAGCCGTCCATGATGCTTGGTATGAGGAACTTGCATGACTTGTTGTACGTGTCCTCCTGATGATGATGATGACGATGTAGACAGTGACGATGATGATGATGACGACAATGATGATGACGACGATGATGATGATGGGTAATGATTGGAATCGTAAAAAAATATTGACAAACAGTGCACGCATATACGAAAAGAATCCTCTCAATATTTGAGTCAATTGAAAGAAAATAACCACAGCAGAGAGTTGGTCAGAAATGCGATTTCAAAATTTCAAGAAACATCAAGATACGCCAAAATGGGAACACCACTAGATCTGGATGACAAAATTCAAGTTAAAGAAGCCCACAAATATGTTTAATTCAGATTCTGACGTGATTAAAGACCGTACTGATAATTATATTATAATTTGCAGATTCAAGACCGCGCTGATAATTATATTATAATTTGCAGATTAAAAACCTTACTGATAATTATATTATAATTTTCAGATACAAACCCAAAAAACTTCATAGTAAACTACACATTTTAAATCTCAATGAATATTTCTCGATAATAATACAGTAGTTATTCATAAGATTTTTGGCTAAACTCCCATAAAAAATAAATTGAGAAAAAATCGAAATGTTTTCTAAACATATTCTGATAAGGTCATACCAAAATTCAACGAAAAATTCTATCATTGCATGTAAAAATACAATGCGGTGAAACTGGAAAATTATGATATCGGTCAGCAAGTTAGCTCAGTCCGTAGAAGTGCCATATCTCATACAGTAACGCGATGGCCTGGTTCAAAAACTATGCATGCGTGTATGATGATGTGGTGCATGTGCATGCATACGTAATGCAGTTAGTGATGTGTGTGTGGTATGGTTAGTGTCGTGTGGTTAGTGCAGCCTTTGTGGCAAGAAGTTTCAAATATAGGAATAATAAATAAAGAATTTTGTGTCTTCCAGAGCTTTTTAATAAAGAAGAAAAAAAATGATGTTCCGATGTTCATGCTAGTATCTCAAGATTATAAATATACACACTCATTTCTGTTTGACATCATTATATGATCAATTTCTTTGAAAAATGACTGCAATGTCATTTCACGGATGGTTAATCAACTAAGAAAAGCAATCGTTAAAGCAACTTAAAATGGCCACAAAATTCAGGAATTTGTCATTCATAGAGCCTAAAAATTAAAAAGCACAAACTTCAATCAAATTTCCCTTCTATTATGGGTAAAAAACGACACTTTGAAGAATTCTAACTATAAAAATATATTTCAAATTGTTTAATTCTAACGAAATAACTTAAAAAACAAACATTTCTAAAGAAGTTACTTACTTAATGGCATTGAACGCTATATAATTTTTACAGTTTTCACTGAGCGTAACAATTAAGTCAAGTGTAATAATCATTCGTTATGTTGTCAAAGAGTTAAACTCATAAACTAATGATTTCTTTACTGCAATGGCTTTACCACAATACTGTTTGACGTAGGTACTTGTGGCTAACAAGATAAAAATGAAATAAATGATTGAAAAGTATAAAGCTAATAAAGTTCCTTAAGCTGTAGAAATCTGGTATAGCAATTAGTAGGCTATCAATCTATGTCCTGGCGATAATAATGTAAGTTGAAAAGTATTGCTGACGAATAGTGTAAGTGAACGAACCTGAGTAGATTTAGCGTCCATGACGACATCAAATATGTACTGCTTCTCTCTCGACCGATTCTGTCGCAAGATGTCATCCAAGTCATCGCTGGGGTCCATGATGACCACCATCTTTGATTAGGGAGCAACGCGTTTGTGGGTTATTCATTAGGTTATTCATTATTCAGTTGCCGTAATATTAATGATACATACAAATGACGCAATGATATAAATAAATGATATAATATCAATTATCACCGTGTCATTTGCATCAATTATAATATAACATCAATTATAAAATTTGGCTTTTATGGAAATGACATTATGTGACGCAAAGATTCAATATGAAATTCACGAAGCGTCTTTAACGGCAGACAAATGCCAAATGTTTACTAAAAATAAGCAAAAGATGGCGCGCAAGCCACTACTAACGTTCTCGTCCACTTTGTGGGCGACGGGCGTCGCGCCATTGTAAATTTCGTCATCCATCATTGGCCGTATCCTCAAGGCCACCTAGAAAGAAAAAAAGGAACATAAGAAGGGTAAGTGAGACATTGGGAAAATGGCGAATCAATAAAAGGTAAATAATACTAATGGTGAACGGTGTTTGTTCTCTTACAAAACTTTCAGACGGTCATGTAAATAAGCGCGAATAATTGTTGAATGTTAGAGAGAGTCTTCATGTATTTGAACCCAGTTGATTCAACGTTTTATCTAGTGATGCTTACCAATATACAATCTCAACAAAAGACGGTATAAAATTATGAAGGAAGAAAGGAAGAACGATAAAAAGAGAAGAATATAAGACGTTATATAAATGTCTAAATATAGTTTATAGAGTTGACTATTTCATTACATTTGTAGGTTTTATTAAATACTTTATAACAAAAATCTCTGAACTACATACAATGATACATACAGTGATATAAATCATAAATGATGACTTAAAAGATTTTAATTTCCAGAATAAAAAACGTATTTCGATAAGAAATCTATTTATGCCGGTTATAAATATAAATTAAATATTATTATAAATGGATGTTGATGATATCAATATTATTAATCAATAAAAATTTAATTAAATTCAATTATTTTTAAAACTAACAACAACCTACCACTAAATTAGAATTGGTGTCGTCAGATTTGAGGTCAGAGATGCTATTTGAATTGGCCATTTTGATTTTCTCAAAGAAAGAGAACGTAAAAATAAAAACCTATTGCTATTCAGCACTATTGCAATCTCTTCTTTATAAATATAACACTAATTTTTTCAAATAAGAATTTTTATCAAATTTTCATTCAAATGTATGTTTTTACTATCGCTACCAGTTTCTCTTTCTAACTCTACCACGCCAAGAATAACTACTACAATACTACATTATTATTGAATCGAGAAAAAACAGATAAATAATTTTATTTAATTAAAAAACCAGTAAAATAATGAATAAATAATATTGTAAAGGGATCAATTTTAATTTACATTTTCGATTTTGTGGGAAAAATAGAAATAAAAAATTAACTCTGTCATTTATTCCTGAATAACAATAGTGCCTATATTTTGAATTATTAAATGCCACGTTACCAATGGCAACCGAGCATAAACAAAAAAACCAGGCAGCAATATCTCGAAGTGGAGAAACAAAATTATTTTTAACATTTACTTATTTATTTATCTATGTTTTTTTTATACGTTTTAATATTATAGATTTTCAAAAATTGATTTTGATAAACGTATTTATAGACCACTGAACTGGATATATGATTATAGTTTAGTGGTATAAATAACTAAAGCTGTCGACTTGTTTCTCCTGTATACCATTACAACTTCAATTATCTCGGAAGTCTGATTACCTCGGGTTGTAAATGTGAGATGCATGTTCTAGAATGAAAAACATCCTCACCAACAGTAAAATCAGGATATCAATAAAATTAAAACTGTTAGGGTGTTACATTTTTCCTGTGCTAACTTACGGCTATGACTCCTGGACAATTTCTAAAGAAATGGAAAAAAGATTAACGCTGCTGAGATGTGGTTTTTGAGAAGAATTTTGAAAATTAACTAGACTTCTTATACTTCGAATGAGGATGTATTAAAACAGTCTGGGTATGAAAAGAGGAAATTTTATATAATCTGACGGGGGCAGTTAAAGTTTTTCTGTCACATCATGCGGAAAGAAAGAATGGAAATTCTAACAACTACTGGAAAGATTGCAGGGAGAAGAGATCGCAGTCAACAACGAATAACATTCGTGAAGTCCTTGTGTCACTTGTTGAGTGTCACCACGTTTCAACTACTACAAAGTTTTGAAGATCGGGCTTTGTGGAGGTTGAAGGTCACCATTGTCCTGAAAGGATAAGGCACGAGAAATAAAAAAATTATATATTATTAATTTTCAATAACTGATTTTGATAACATATCTATAGATCACACAACTGTTTATATAATTATAGTTTAGTGGTATGAATAAATTGATATTTAGTTATCCATCGTTATCGAGATATACTATTATATAAATAAATAGATTGACGGATAAAATATTTTTAAACACATAAAATTATAAAGATGAATATCAATCAATCAATCAATCAATCAATCAATCAATCAATCAATCAATCAATCAATCAATCAATCAATCAATCAATCAATCAATCAATCAATCAATCAATCAATCAATCAGCTTATAAAGCGCTATTTTTGCGATGTTCAACAGCGCTCCTCAATGAATTTTGAAAACAGATGGGTCTTGAGATCCGCTCTGAACTTCGCAAGTGATGGAGAAGTAGTCAGAGAAGTAGGTAGAGAGTTCCAGAGAAAAGGACCAGAAAAAGCAAAAGCAGATTTGGCAAAAGAGTGTTTAACACGAGTTAAGAAAAAGCGAGAAGAAGAAGACGATCGTAAACCGGGGCGTTTTACAGAAACATTTATACTTTCATACGAATAATAATGATAATAATTAATATATGTATAGAATAATAATAATAGAATAATAATATATAATATAATAATAATATAATAATAATAACAATATATAGAATAATAATAACAATAATAATTAATATATGAGATAGTTAATAAATGAATGTTGGATCCCTACACGTCGTTATTAATTATACTCTAATTTTCGATGTTTTTCTGGATTATGCAATATACCACAAATAATCCAATATATATTATTATAAATTGTTACAGAAAATGTACACACACACACAACAGATATACACAAACATACTCAGACAAATGCACACACACACAAGCACACACACACAAGCACACACATAATATCTCGTTTAAAAAAATGTCATCGAATTGAATGAAACGTCCGTGTGAGTGTGAGAATCGCCACATAAACATATACTTACATAAACTTAGCCCGTGCACACACACACACACACACACACATATATTACACTTTGTATCATTTTGATAGTTGAAAAAACTCACATACACCTCATATATGCACGCGCAAATTTGTTTATTTAAAGTTTAATTGTTTAATCATTTGTTTAATTTCAATTCACTCACAGAAATGTATTGATTACATTAAAAGTTAATGCATAATTTGAGTAGTGTAGTGTTTCATGTAAGTGTGTGTGTGTGTGAGTGTGTTTATGTTTGTGTGAGTGATGGGGTGTGTGTATGTTAAGTATGAAGCGTTAAGTCGAAGACCAAAGTTCTGAATAAGGTTTACTAAGTGTGTGACTCTTGTGTGGAAGGTTGTTCGTGAAGTAGTACTCTATCAGTTTGGACATGTCGTCAAATGTGTTCCCATCCATTACTAACTGGCTTCCCTGTTCAAATTGGTGTGTTGCTATTTAATTATCTTTTGATTTTAAATTTTAAATATTTATTATTGATTATTAAATGTTGTTCATTTCAAAATACGTTTTTGCGACTAGCGTGAACCTATTCGGGTAAGAGAGGGGTGGGCGAACTTTTTGCTATTTTACCTTTGAAGGGTCGCGTATGTACATAAATAGCAAATTTTTTCGACCCGGGGGAGAATTTTTTAAGATTTGAGGCTCCTTTTTTGGTCATAATGTCTGGCTGACGACCTTGGCAAACAAGGCCTCGCGGGCCGCATAAAATTTAACTAAACATTCTAAGAAATGAAGAAATGAATCAATTACCAAGAATCGCCCTGATTAATTAATTATAATTAATTAATTAATTATAATTAATTAATTATGATTAATTATTACTTTTAGAATTTACTAACCTGACAAGTTATTTTAAACTTTTTCGGCCCGTCTTCACAAGCAACTGACAACGTCTGATTTTGTAATTTTTAGATTTCATATTTTTATTTCCTCATTAATGTTCATTTCATTATTGTGGTTAAGGTTTATTGATAAGATAAATAAATAATTCATTCAATTAATTCACAACTGATTAATAAATAATAATAATCTTTTTGCATAATGTACTGAACAACAAAATGAATGAAAAAATCGTTATATTGTAATTGAATTAAAAAAAATAGTTATTCCATTTAAAAAGGTTCGCTATATAATGATTTATTCATCTGATTGTATCAGACGGAATAGCTACAACGTCATTTTATATTCAAATTAGATAACAATGTTTAAATAATAGTCATAAAAATAATGAGAAGAAAAATAATAATAATGACAAAATAATAATGTAAATAATAAAAATTCTTTAAAATAGAAACTACTTCTACTGACATAGCCATCTCCATCTGTCGACTTTCTTATGAGGAATGCTCCAATCACTTTAATAATAGCCGACATGACTCTAATTATAAATTATGACGTCGTAGTTAGATGGTTGGTTGATTGATTGGTTGGTTGGTTTATTTGTAGGTTGTTTGGCTGGCTGGCTGGTTGGCTGATTGATTGGTTGAGTTGTTTGTTGGTTGATTGGTTGGTTGGTGGATTTATTGATTGGTTTGTTGGCTGGCTGGTTGGTTGATTGGTTGGGTGGTTTGTTGGTTGGTTGGTTGATTGGCTGGCTGGTTGGTTGTCTGCTTACACTAAGCGGCCAGCCAACCAATCAATCGTGGTACCTACTTATCATTTCAAAATAATATCGAATCCATAAACTAACTCAGTAGCCTTATTTGGATCCTTGTTCCACATTGCTTTATTCACCAACGCTGAATAATTTACTGACAGACTCTTAAAAAAATAATAATTATTATTATTATTAACAATTATCAATCAATAAATTAATTTGTAAAGCACTATTTCCGCGATGTCAAACAGCCTGTCTGTTTTGAATTTTACAAGCAGACGAGTCTTGAGATCCTCTCTGAACTTCGTAAGTGATGGAGAAGTAGTCAGAGAAGCAGGCAGAAAGTTCCAGAGAAAAGGGCCAGAAAAAGCAAATGCAGATTTGGCTTATGAGTGTTTAACACGAATTAAGAAGAAGTGAGAACGAGAAGACGATCGTAAACCGGGGCGTTTAGGTTCAATTAATATATCCGATGAGTACCTTCTTAGGAAATAACTTCGGCTGAGACTTGTACTGTACATTAATGTGCAGATTTAAAAATTATTGTTTATTTTTTGGGTAGCCAGTGTAAGAGAACAAGATATGGAAGTATATGGGAAAAGAAAGTGGCACGAGCAACTAGACGAGCAGCAGAGTTAAATGCTTTACTTAAAGCATAGAGTGTGGGATCAGGAAGATCATAGTAGAGCGTGTTACCATAACCAATCCTAGATGAAACTAAGTATGAAACAAGAAGGAGAAGAGTAGAATCGTCATGAAAAGACGAAAGTTTTTTATTTTTAATTCATGATAACTTCAGAAGTATCGACGAGAGAAAGAGAGCCCACGTGAAGCCACGTATGATTAATCAAACACATTGCAATCTTGTATGCCGAGATCCTTCTTGAATTCGAATCCTGTCACTGCCAAAGCAGGAGCAGGCGACTTAACCATTACGCTACCTCGCCATTATTCGTATTATTGTAATTATGAATATTAGCAGAGGGGACTTACGTCAATTTCATACACAGGCTCAACGTCTGGTCCGGGGACTGCGGGCTTTGGTGTTTGAACCTGGGGGCTTACCTCATGTACATGACAAAGTTATTTAAAATTATTTAAAATACATCTATCCTATGCAATAGAACCAATAACCCACCCTTTTTTCATTCATTCATTCATTCATTCATTCATTCATTCATTCATTCATGCATTTCATTCATTCATTCATTCATTTTATTTTCACTCCATTCATTCATTCCGTCCATTTATTTATTTTATATAGTTTATAATTTTTGGTTCGTTCGCTTGTTTACTGAGTTAGTTTTACGACATTATTTAGAGATGGAAAACAATCCATACAAAAATTCTTTATCATAATTGTTAAAATTATTTGATACAAATTTATCAATATTTAAAATTTGAAATTTATAAACTTTATTAAATATTTATTTAGTAGAATAAAATGAAATAATAATCTGAAATACTTTCATCTCTGGTCTGCCGGCTAAATAAATTGACAAAATAAATTTATTAATTAAGTTTGTGTGTGCGTGAATGTGTGTGTGTGTGTGTGTGCGTGAATGTGTGTGTGTGCGTGAATGTATGTGTGTGTGAGAGAGAATTTTTTTCCATCAATACAATTGTCATGTGGTGATGATGAGAATGACGACTAAGTAATAGTAATAATTATTATTGTATTTTTATTATTATTGTTAAATATTAAAACTATTATTATTATTATTACGTTATTATTATTATTTACATGATCATCAATTCATCATCAGCGTCTTACGTTTTTTAAGTGTGGGCGGTTTCTCTTTTGGTTTATCTGTTGGAAATTAATTAATTTAATTGTTCATAAAAATAATTAATTGTCAATTGGTTATAATTAATTGTTGTAATATTTTATAAAATTTCAATAATTATTTTCCTCGAGTTCATTCAGCTGATTGAACCTGGTGTCCTTGCGTTGTTGTTGTCCTGACTGCGTCGTTCTTGATTAGGAAATGTTGGCTCTGTGAAAAATCAACCAATCAATCATATGATCAATCGATCAATCAATTAGTCAATCAATCAATCAACCGTGTAATCTATCAATCAATCAATCAATCAATCATTTGTTCAATCAATCATATGATCAAACATCCAATCAATCAACCAACCAATCAAACAATAATATAATTATTCAATCATTCAACTAACTATGTAATCGAACAATCAATCAACCAATTATCCAACCAACCAAATAATCTATCAATTAATGTATCAATCAATCAGCCAACTATTCAGTCAATCATATGGTTAATATATCAATCGATCAATCGACCAGCCACCCAACCAGCCAACCAACCATATTTTAACGGTGTCGGTGGCGGTTTTTTCGCTTTAAAATTTAAAAAAAAAATCATTCAGTAATTAAATTATGCAGATTAAATTATTTAAATAGAAGTAAAAAAAAGAAAAGAAAATTAATAATAAGAAGAAAACGAACAATAAATAATAATAATCAAACCTGGTAGCTTGGGTGCTTTTGGTAAAATAGAATTAGCGACATTATTTTCAACAGCGGCTATTCTGCCGGCGAGTTTGCTGCTAATTTTTGAGACGCTGGTAGTGGTTGGCGGTGTGGTTGTCGACGAGGACGACCGCGATTTTGTGGTGGTCGCTGGTAGCTCATCGGGTTCATTGTATATGGCCATTGAATTGTCTGTGTGTGTGTGTGTGTGTGTGTGTGTGTGTGTGTCTGTCTGTCTGTTTGTGTGTCTGTCTGTCTGTTTGTGTGTGTGTGTGTGCTTGTGTTGCGTTTGTATGTATTTAATGATTAAAAGTAAATTTTAATAAATATTAAAAATAAAAGGTTCAAAAATAATAACAATAATAATAATAATGATAATGATACAAATGGTTAAAAGTGGATCACCTCCTTCGTCCTCTTGATTATTCCGACTATTTTTTGATCGTTTTTGATCCACTGGAATTGCTGGTAACGGAACTGCTGGGCGTGATGATGATGACGATGACGACGATGATGATTAATAATAATAATAGTAGTAATAATAATAATAGTAATAAATAATAATAATAATGTCATTTGTGAAGCTGAGACGCCCTCGCTATAATTACAGGAGATAAGGGCAGGCCATGTTACGACTTGGGTGGGATATTATTATCATTATTATTGTTATTGCTGTTGTTGTTTTTGTTGCTATTATTATTACTTCATTCATTCATTTAATTCATTCTTTTACTCACTCATCATCCAACTTACCGTCCCATCTCTTGTTCAGCTTTTCATTTATTATCGACTCCTTACCGGACTCTGGGCGTATACAAATAAATAATTAGAAAATAATTTAAGAAGTAGTAAATTTATTGAAAATATATATTAATTAAATTAAATACGCACGAACGCAAACGAATTGAACGTTAACACAGTAAGTGATACGTGTGCACATACAAACGAGCATGGGTACACAGATGTACACATATTTGGATACGAAGATACACAACCGCAGACACACACGCCCAAACAGACGTCTGGGTAAATGTTCAGCTGTCCAGACAAATGTCCAGACAGACAGACATAACTAACCTACACTCGGTATTTCGTAGTCATCCATTTTCTCGCGTTCCAGATCTGAGTAATCGTCGTCGTCGTCTTCATCATCTTTTTCATTTTCGATGACGTAGTTTGTTCCGACATCGTCGTCGTCACTGTCGTCGCTTTTGGTAAATTTGACGCTTTTGATGTTTTTGACTTTGTTGTTGTTGCTGCTGTTGTTGTTGTTGTTTTTACGCTTTGGTTGGTCGCTTTTTGGCATTTTTTCTAATCGCTCTCGTATAAGCTTTAGCCATTTCTTAAGCATTTTGAAATTTAATAATATACGAAGACAAATAATTAAAATAGAGAGACATAAAATTATTTTTGATTATATATCATAAAGTTAAATTATATATTCAAATAAACTTATTAAATAAATAAATAATTAGTTTATTCATCAGTTATGAACAGGCAAAATAAATAACCGATTAAAAATTTCAAAAAGTTCATTTCAGATACAACATTAAAAAACAAAGAAGCAAAATAATCCAACCTTTTGTTCCTCTTGTGAGGTGGCGGCAAATAAAAGTTCTTTGGACTTATCTTTACGGATGAGTTTGAAGGGCCATGGAACATCTGTATTGTCGGGTTCTGCAAGGTCAGCCCTGAAGGTCAAGGTCAAGAAGTCAAGGGAGTCTCCACTCAATTTATCTCCATGCGTTTAGACATTTTTAAAAAAATCTATTTCATATATATATATCTCAGAAGTTATTAATAACAAACATATCACACACATTTTATGTGATAGGCGGGGATCACTTTGCATTCGAACATAGTCACTACAACAGCAGTGCCAAGCACTTTAATCTCTACGCCATCGTGCCACCTAGTTTAAAGCATCACATACTCGCAAAACTCGGCCATCCGGATGACTCTCTCGCTCTTCTTGGAGGTCTCATCCCTGAAGACAAACAGAAATTCGTTTCGAAGTATGACGTATCGCTGGTCCCCTGGTCATTTTGTGGGAATAATTATAACAATTATAATTATATTAACTAATAATAACTACAATTATTATTAAAATTTTTATTGAGTATATGTTTTTCGGAAATGAAAAGAGTTCTTATTATTATTGTTATTACTATTATTATCATCTCATTATTAATATTATGTATTAGTATTTATGTCATTATTTATGTACCTGCAAAAAGCTGACCAACTTGCCCGAACCCACTGTTTTTAATACGTAATTTGCAATCAAATTCAAAAAGCGAATACAACAACTTCAAACTTTATTAAAAACTTTCGAAATTCCTATATTAATTCTTATTTCTATATCTATACTTTATAATACTTCTAATTTATCACTAGTTAATTTAGTATGTCCTGAACATTTTAAAAACATTTCAACAAATCCTATTTTGTCATCATCATATTCATTGTACATCGTGACAGAAATAGCAAATGAATCCTATTTTAAACTAACATCTTCTATAAGTACTTATTCGAATTGAATAGACTACCAGTTTGTGTTAACTCTTTTTTGATATTTTATACTTTCATATAGCTTTATTACATTGGTGTTTCATTCTAATTGAATAGGAAGCAGTGTTCACATTATTATCACATTTAAATAGTTTTAAAGTCTTCAACTCCTCAATTATTGATGTATTATCATTGAAACATCAGAGCACGAAGAATGACGTAAATACTTAGGCTATAATTAGGCACCAATTTAGAATTAGGCATTTAGAAATTCACATGAAAAACTTGATCTTAGCATAAGTCGAAATTATTATATAAATGTATTATTGTGTATGTACTGCTGTTGATGTTATTATTATTTATGTTGTTGTTGTTGTTGTTATCATTATTACTATTTATATTATTGTATTAGCATGTAATGATGATACTGTATTTGTTGTGATACGATACGATACGATACGATACGATATGATACGATATATGAAATATGATATAATGATTTATGATACGATATGACATGATACATTATATATATATATATGTATATATATATATATAATTTTAATAATTGTATATATACAAACAAATATAGAGAATTAACATTATAGAGACACGACACAGTATATATACATACATATATATTTCAGTATTTGGCCACATACACAGCGCATCAATTCGAACACAGATGATGGCAAAAGAATACCGAATACTTTTTAGTTCTATCATGCTTAAAATAAAGAAAATTTCGATTTTGAACTGAAGAATTTGACAATGATTTATAATCATCTACCGTTAAAAAAAAACAAAAAATTATACAGAAAGCTAACTATCGAGGAACGCGCGGTGATTTTCATCAATAATTGCATTTCTGACGGTCTTAATCTAATATATATATATATATATATATATATAAACGAATAATTTAATCAATAAATACGTCAACAATTGATTAATGCCAACAATTATGTAGAATTCATACAATACTCTCCATATATTATTATGTAGATGATAATTTAGGTTAAGTTGTATGATTAAATATATGTTGTATGTAGATGTATGTTATGTATGTTAAAGTAGGTAGGCAATTATAATGATAGTTAAATTAGGATAGAAGCCCACGACGAGACAGCAAATTTACAGTCATGAAGCAGCTTAACATAAGATAATATAACGTATAATTAATCAGAGCATATGATACTTTGTATAATAAGAATGAGGTGACATACAATAGGGACTGACTGGTTAGTAGGAGTGAGACAACTAATTTTTAGGCTCTAGGGAGCAAGGTCTCCTGATGTATAATAGGCAGGCTGGCACACGAGTTTGAGAATTTATATAGCGCCCCTTGCATATATGTATGTATGTATATATATTACATAATATATTGTGATATAAGTACTCTTGATAGTGTTAAAAATGTCATATTATTAATTTTCTGAAAACGAGTCATTTGAGAAGTTTAACTTATCATTCTCTTAGTTATTATATATAGTTACACACACAAACACACACCACACACACACACACACACACACACACACAAACACACACGCGAACTAAACATACACATACAAATTTCCATTAATAAATTTTTATAAAAATGTTTAAAACATGAATAAGCATATCATACACTATACAATACAACAAATAAAATACCACATAATAATAATTATTTTATTTATTTATTATTAATCATTATTGTCGTGTTATTACAATTATTTACAATAATTAATAATAATAATAATTAGGAATGCTTTGTTAAAATTTTATTTCAAAGAGCCGATCAAATAATAAGCGTGAAAACCTATACTCTTGGTAAAAAGTACGAACAACTGTCTAGAAACGTACACACACTTACACACACACACACACACACCACACACACCACACACACACACACACACTACACAAACAAACACACACACACAAACAAACATAAACAAACAAATAGAAACATCTTAATAATTTATGTGTAATTATAATGGCTAGTAATT